AGTGGGATATTGCAAGGCACAGGCCATCAAGAGCAATAAAATTCAGCATGGAGAAGAGCTCACAGTTGACTTAGGGGTGTGGTATGTTGCTTTGGAACCATAAGCCTGCGCTAATGGATTATTTGTACAAAGCGGCTTGAACGAGGCAAGTGCTAGCTATGGTTATTAGAGTCGTTCCAGGCAATAGTCCATGAGTCCAATTACATGCAGCCAGTGCCCCAGACACTGATTTTGCTAATTGCTACCCCTCAGACTTGGAATTCCTTTTTATTCTAGTTGCATATTTTTTTCAATGAGAGGATATGATTCCTACCATAATGGAGCCTACTGGACTGCTAGCTGCTTCATGATATAATTGCCTGCATTATGAATCATTTGTTGATTATTTTTAATGTAGCAAATGTAAAAGAAAAAGTATGATTCCTATTTAAAATACAGAATCTGATTTTCTGCATGCTTTTATCTCAGATAATTAATGATTCCTGGCAATTTGAAATGTGTGTCTATACACAAATATATATGTACATACATTCAACAAAGGAACTATGATGTATCAGCTGTGTGCTACATAATGAAGCTGCGTAAGCCAATCTTCCTACCAGGCACTATTAGTATAAAATTAGAGATGAATACTTATACAGATGAATGTTAGGGTTTGAGCCACAACAGGAGTCCAAGGTAAATGGTTCCTAAAGAGGTCAAGACATATTTCACGAAGATGGTTCTGGCAAAGCTGAATCTTGGTATGTAAGAGGCAATTTATCAGATGGACAAAGAAAAGGGATAGAGAACAGGAACTCAAAGTACCATTGAGGAAACACATTATACAAAGAAAGGAAAATGAACATAATGAGAGAATACACAAAAAGACTGATTGACAGACTATAATTTGCAGGCCAAGTCCAAAATAAGTGCTGGTTATAATTTTAATATTTGTATTGCATTTTAGTGCATGTGTGTATATTTCCGTGTGTGTGCGTGTATGTGTGTGTGTTCCTGTAACAGGAATCCAGAGAACAGCTTCCAAGAACTGGTTCTTTCCACCATATGGGCCCTGGAGACCAACCTGAGTATCAAGCTTGGCATCAACTATTTTTTTTATCCCCTGAGCCATCTTTCTGGCCTTTACTGCTTGATTTTATAAATGAATCTTTATTGGCGAATAGCCAAACTCATCCATTCAGATCTTGTTTACATGATTCATAGTCAGAACAAAGTAAAAGCAAGATGCCATATGGTTTGCAAATACTAAATATTTATTGTCCAGACCTCTTTTTTTGCCACAAAAGTGCTATTGACCCTTACACTAGGGTATAAGCCTACATTAAAAGAGATCAAAATTTTATTCTGATGATATAACTAAATTTTCTATATATTTGATAGTGACAGTGTGCAACTCCCATACAATAGACCCTAGTAGGCAAAATGAAAATCATGTGAGCATCACAAGTCTGTCTAATACAAGGGGTCTTGAACTCCAACTGGGAATTCTCAATACAAGGAAATAGAATTTGCTTAAATAGTCTACAAATCCATTTTTTCATCCAATGTAAATATGTGAGCATGTCTATATGTACAAATGTGTTTATATAATGCAAGGAAGTCATTTTCTATTTCTTTTCACAAATATCACACTGTGCTTTTTTTCTTGTATTTCACAGGAACACTTTAGAAGTCATTTATGTGATCCCACATTAAGACATCATCTCACTCAGCAGTTTACTTTATCCTTGGAATTGTAGTATATTGTTCTTTATGCTGTCAAACTATCAAAAGTAATATGACATCACAGTTAGTATGAGCATATTGGAACAAAGAAGAAGGAGATAAAAGCTCGGAGTTAATCCACACTGTAGGAAAACAACAACAGTTTACAATGACTTTGATTTCTAGCTTGCCTTCTGGGGATTGGTTTCTTCACAGAGTTTCACTGGGCTTGGTGAAAATTCCACAAATGTATTTGGGTCCAGAAATGTCCAGAATAACACCAAATTCACTATAGTAGCCATAGGTGACCTTGAAATTTTATCCTCCTGCCTTTACATTCTAATATTTAGGTCAAAACTGTGTGCTACCACACTAAGTTTGTGTTCTGATGGGGATCAAATCCTGAGTGTTATACATACTAGCCAAGCACCCTACTGACCTCCAAATGTAGTTTTCTGCACCTGGCAATGCTCTAAAAGAAAATGAGTGATCAGTAAGGGTAACAGCAAGGACAGAGCAAAGTCTGTACTTTGATGGCTTTGCAGAATTCAAATGATGAAAAAATTTAATCTCCCCTTTTTCTGTTCAATTGTAATGGAACCTTGAGCACAAAAGTTCAGGTAAATTAATGAGGAACCATGTTTGGTTCCCAGCACCCATATCTCACACACACCTGTAACTTTGGCTCCAGGGGATCTGACACCCTCTCCTGTCACATGCAAGAATATAAACATAAACATAAGCAACTAACATGGCAAGCTTGGCTCAAATAACACATCTTGTCGACAAATAAGAAAAGTGCTTCTGTTTCATAAAACAACACAGTAGGGGAACCTTATGGGAGTTTGTGTACAAGACCATTAACAAAGAAAGCTCAAACTTACCAAAGAAGAACAAGCATTACACATGGAAAATAATTAATGGCAATGCCATATACAGGAAAAATTTAAAGTTTACATCATGATAAGTCTTACTTCACAACAAATAAAATTTGTAGCACATTGGTTTTTTTTACTTTAAAAATTCAGTTCATCAATATTTAAACATGACAACATGTAGATAGAAAAATGCAATGTAATAAAAACTACTGCTGATTTCAAACTAATGGCTTTTTGTGAAGATTATTTCATCCCAGTAGTTGATGGCGTCTCCTAGTGACTGCTGCTGCTGACATTATCTGTCTCTTTCCGTTCTGCTTTCCAAACAGATGTCCCCAGAGCAGCCCTTAGGGGGTATCTAAGGCATATTAGAAAGAGGATGTTTCTACTCAAATGGTCAGACCCCTTTCCACTTGCTTGGCAGCATTTGACTTTGTTTACTTTAAGACATCAAGTGTACTTTCATTTCTTCTAAAAATCTTGTCTCTATATCACCTCTCTTGGTTCAGTCAAATGTTCTATTCTGTATTCCCAACAGGGAACCTGTGGTGGGCACTTTGCTACAGCCTGAGTCTTGTCATCATCTTTTCTTCATGAGAAATGAGCACTTTTGTTGAACTCAGTTGTGGGAAAATAGCAACATTTTTTTACTTCCAAATTACAGTTTAATTTCACTGCCTTCAGCCAAGACTCCCCTGAAAAGGCCATAAAGTTTGGGGGAAGTGCCCTCCTTCCCTCAGCTTAAGCAAAGCATGTCTTTGTGTTGTCCATGGAATTGGTGTGGGTTACGAAACTAGAAATCTGTTTGGCACTGGGAACCAGGTGGTGTGCTGTCTCCTGGTGAGGTCTCATGGACTCTTCCCTGTCCACTTTAAAGTGTCTATTGTTGTCCTTGTTCAGCTCATGTTTGGGCATCATGCTGGCAAACGTTTTAGACGTATAAAAACACACACACACAAGTAACATTATACAGAATTAATGGCTTACATCTAGTAATGTATATGTATATGCCTAGTCAATCCTTGCCTTCCTCCTTGGCTTCCACATAATCTCTCCTTCACCACTAATACCTGAGCCTGGCTATCTGTCTTCAGAATTTCTACACTGTCCACAGTCTCAGTCTCCCAACTCATGAGTGGGTGGATAGGATTCAACAGAAGATGCTGTACTCACTTTTCTACATGGATTCAGGGCACTCCAACTCAAGTCCCCATGCTTGTGGTACAGTCTATCCAATGAACCATTTCCTAAAATCAGAAGTCAAAATACTGCCTGACTACCAAAGCCTGAGTTTTTCTGAACTCTGGTGTCCCCTGCTGTCTCTGGGCCTCAGTGGAAGGGCAAAAAGGAAGAAGAGGGTCCAGGACTTAGCTGGAGCCTGCACAGGGTCAACTGGGGCCTTGGAGTCCAGCTCTTTTTCAGTGTGCCTCATTAGACTCCCCTTAGAAACTGCTTCTCAGGACTCCAATCTGCTTTTGGTGTATTCCTTAGAGATGTTAACATATAGACACTAGGAGCTTTGGGTGGATTGGGGAGAATAGTTTTGATAATATCCAGTATCATGATTTGAAAAGAAATTGTTTGAATGCTATCATCTTAAAGTAGTTCCCTAGTTCCAAGGAATAACTTTTTCCTGCTCATTCCTTTCTAGGGTCCCAGAAATAGAAAAGCCATGTGAGATTTCTTGGTACAATTTCTTCAATATTGAAGTCTCAAATTTAGGAGAAAATGTAAAAGGAGGGAAAAGGAGGGCTATATTGTGGTTTGATTGGTTAGCAAATTGAAAAACCACAGGGCAGCTCTGCTTTGGCAATTGAGGACAGCACAGTGGGAAATAAAGCTGTACGTAAATCACTAGTGAAATTAATACATTTTAAAGGTTATCAGAGCCAAACTGCTGAATCCTACAGTTTGTCATCAGTAAATTAAGTGTGGGATCTCTAATTTAATTTGTGAGAATTACCAGTCGACTTCTAATGTATAGCATTATAAGAACTAATGTTACTTTACGAGCCAGGATTGAGAATTTTTTTTATTTTCAAAAGAGCAAAATGACAAGAACACCAATTCCGAGTCCAAGCAACCGTTTTAGTTACAATAGCTTGTGGACTTCTGACAAAATGAATATAGTTCCTGAGTGTTATTTGCAATCTCTTCATTAAAAAATAAATCAGATGAAATATCTGATGACAACAGTCTTCCCTGCAAAGCTTGTCCCCTGCAAAGCTGGCCTGGTTTCAACACAAAGGAGAACTCTAAAGGAGGAGCACTGCAGTTTATCTGACACAACCATCTGCAGGTGACCTTTTTGTTTATTTTGTAAATTTCATTTTGCATTCCGAATACAGTTCTCCCACCCACCCCTCCTACAGCCCCCATCTCCTCCCCCTTCAACCTGTTCCCCGTCCACTCCTCTCACAGGATAAGGGCTGCCATGGGACCTAGACAAAGCCAGGTCCATTAAATTGAGGCAGGACCAATCCCTCCCCCCAACCTCAAGCATTACAGTTGAGCATGGCATCCCACCCTAGGGAATGGGTTCCTACAAGCTAGCTCATACACCAGGGATAGACACTGGTCCTGCCTTCAGGAGTCTCTCAGATAGATGCAGCTACACAATTGTCTCCCACATGCAGAGAGCCTAGTTCCATCTCATGGAGGCTCCACAGCTGTGCAGGTGACTTTCCTTCTTATTTTCTTCTTTCCATGAACATGAAATTCTGAGCACATGAAATTGACTGAACGAGATGCAATATCTGTCAGAACAGAAGAAATTCAAATTTTGGAATCAACAAAAAATTTGAAGAACTGAGCAGAGTGTTTTTCTTCAGTTACTCATTATAAATAATGCAAGAGCAACTCAGGAAAAAAAAAGATCTTCCAGAGGCAGAGTAGTTAGTGCCTCCAAGACTAAAAGTCAGTCCTGAGAGCCCAGACTCCTAACTTTTCAGTAATTCCTCAAGTAGTGAATTCTTGTGGAAAGCAACTCATTTACAAAGATTCTTATTTCTCTCTTATATACACATAATTGTTTTTCTTTGGTTACCTGGATAGTATCTATAACCATAAACTCACAACTGAAATGATCAGTAGGGAGTATATGTTGTGACAAAAGGCTGCACTTTTGGAATCTTATTTCTCCTGAATAGATTCTCAGATCTATACAATGTGTTTGGTAATCTTCCTAAGTTGAAGGTTCTTCACCTTTAGAGAAGTGAAACTTCTTCAGAGAAGTAGTTTCTGTCTGTCTTACAGACACCTGAGTGTTGTGCTTGCATAGTTCTAGAAGGTATCTCACTGCCAAGAGGAATAAAGAATAAAAGTCTGAGATGAATGAACAAAGAAATAATAAATTTTCAACTGTTTTCATATCAACTACTTCTAAAGGAGATGGTGACTTACTTATTTTTGATAAAGTGACACAGAGAATCATTTGTATTGTCCTCAGGTGGTGTGTAGCTCTGTACCTCCTTAGTCATTTCCTTGGAAATGCCATTTTTGTGTTATTGTTGCTATTTTATTTTTGCTTTATCTTTTGCAAATGGATTTCTGGCTGTCAAAAATCCACACTGATCCTTTTCACACTGAGCTTCTAAAGCTCAGATTGACACCACACTATGAGCCAGAAAGGACCACAGTGAATACAGGAATTACATTCCATCCCTTCCACAAGAGGAGAAGCTGACTCCACAGCCCAGCAAAGCTTCTCCAGCCTGATTTTCAACAGCATGGATCAGAACAAGGCTTCTCAGTGATAACACACTCTTGTGCTTTTAAGAAACGGATCAGCTGAGTGCAGGGATGGAGTGATGTACAGGCTCTTGGTCTGGGTCTGTAATGAAATCCCAGGTATGAAACTTGCTGTAATCATTGCAGAGTTGCTGCATCTGTCTGTGCTGTGTTTTCTTCATCTGCATCACAGGCATCAAATAGTCCCTATCACATCAGGTTATTGCAAAGATGAGTAAGCTCAGCTCAGTATCTGGCCAACACAATAAAGAACAAATAACTGGAAGTATTTAGGAAGAGGGGGAATCTGGGAACAACAGTAGAAAATGCTGGAAAGGAAATGTTAATCACAGAGATATATTTATAAAGCATTACCTCAGGTCTACAAATAAGTACCTATACTATAACAAAAAACTTGATAATTAATATATGATAACTTAGATACTTTCATATGTATTATGCATGTGTATATGCGTGTTAAATACTTGGCATTCTCTCCAGCAAAATTGTGTGCTCCCACTGTCATTGCTAACAGTCTCTTTTTTAAAGGGATGCTGCCTTGTTAGCTCTTCCAGGTGTCTCACGTTTGGCCAGCTTGTCTAACCAGTACAGTACATACTTACAGAAAATCCTCAAGACTGCCCATATTGTAGTCAACAGAAGACAGATTTCTTATAGGAATTGTTCTTCTGAGATTACAGAGGATAAGAAATCCAACAATTTGCCACTGAAAAGACAGAAAACCAAAAAGGCAGGAGGTATAATTTGGTCATAGACAGAATGGCCATATGAACACAGGAAAAGATAAAATAATTGGCTTTTTACCCCCTCCCCCATTTTATTTTAATCAGGCCCTCAAATGATTGGCTCATACACCCACACTTATCAGTGCAAAACTTCTTAGTACAGTTTACCAATTAAATGGTAATTTATTACAAAATATTCCCAGATATATCTAGAAATCATGTTTATCAGCCATCTGGATATCTCTTAGCCCAATCAAGTTGACATGAAAAATTAACCACAAGCTAAGATTTCTTAAAATCATATATTCAGGATTTGGGATCTGGCTTAGTTGATAAAATACCTAGTGAATAACCATGAGGACCTGAATTAAAATGCACAGCACTCAAGTAAAAAGCCAGGCATTGTGAGATACATCTGTAACCCTAGCATTGGTGGGGATAGGTCATAGAAACAGGCAGAACATTCAGAGATCCTTGATTATCCAGGCTAGTTAATGGAGTAAAACACAGATGCCAATAGTGATGATGTGACAGCTGTGCAAATGAAGTTAAGAAAAATACAAAGTAAAGAAAAGCAAAAGTGTCAAGAATGTCGGGGTGAGGCAGATGCATGATAGAAGGATTATTTTTCTGTTTCGAATTCTTAGGGTGATATAGGAGTCCTTCACAGAAACCTGCCTTCTTGACAGAGCTAGCCAGAAATAGTGGAAAAGAAGATGAACTCAAAGTTACATACATGGAACTTCTACAGTCTTCCTGAAACAAACAGAGGAAACAAATGCTTGCTATAAAGCTGCCAACAGTACTACCTGATACTTGTTATCATGTTTTTATCCCTCATTCTCCTTTTCTCTTACTTATGATTCTCTGAAATTATACAGCTGAAGGTGACAATGTGTGAACATTTGCTTCACACAAGCTGGTTTCTAGGAACTAGAAGCAATTAGGAATGCTCTCAATCAGATGGGAAAGCCTATTCCGTAGCGTTTATAGAGCAAGCAAAAGAATGAGGGGTGGTTCTAAAAACCAGCATACAAGATCCAAGTGACACAAAGAAACACAAATACAGGCAGGCAGAGAGTGAGAAGGGAAACTAAGAGTGATCGGCGTCTGCAACCAAAGGCAAAGAAAGTCTGAGACCAGAGCAGCAGTTAATGGCACAAGGTAGGGAAGTAGTGGTCAGTGATGTTGGGTAAGGAAAGTGAATTACTCAGGGTTCTTTAGAGCAGTGGCTCTCAACCTTCCTAATGCTGTGTTACTCTATCACAGTTCCTCATGTTGTGGTGACTCCCAACCATAAAGTTATTCTGTAATTTTGCTACTGTTATAAATCATCATTTAAATATATGACATGCAGGATATACAATATGCAACCACTGTGGGGGTCATGAACCTCAGGTTGAGAACTGATGCTCTAGAGGAAAAGAACTTAAAGAATGAATCTATTATCTGTCTATATACATATATATATGTGTGTGTGTGTGTGTGTGTGTGTGTGATTTATTAGATACCTGCATGTATTTATATCCCAAAGGAAATGAGCATGCAAAAGAGATGAGCTAAAGATTCATACAATAGACCAGGGAGCACACAGTAGACAACTTCTGACAGAACAAAGCATTTTCCTATTGCTGCCCTCAAATGCTGTCACATATGAAGAAATATGTGTTCCTCCCCAAATCCACCATTAGAAATTTGGCCACAAAGTCTGTCTAGAGCTGACAGCTCTGTTTCTCAGTGAGTCAGACTATACAGGACAGCACAGCGACTTCTCTTCTGTGGGCTATTTTAGGGAGAAGCATTGTCCACCTAGCTCATGCCTTTGACCTTCAATCTTGATAGCAAGTTGGATTTCAGCATTGGGAACAGAGTTCATAAGGCCAGGATGATCCTGCACTTTGAGAGCAGATGGGACCTTACTGTGAACTCTTCAGCCTTGACCTGTGGGAGCTCCAGTGGAAATGAGGAGGGGAAGTGGGAGCGATACCAGACTGTGGTAACTCTGATCTTCCCTCTAGATACTGATCTCTGAAACATACACACACATACCACATACTCATGGACAAATATACACACGAAAGTACACTCAAGCCACACAGGTAAAACATGTGTACACACTCACACACACATACAACACACACACAATGTACACACATCCACACATATATTCACACATAACATGTACACACATATATACATACACTCATACACAATATACCACACACACATTTACACAAGGTACACACAAGTACAGGCACACACATGTGCCCATACACCACACAAACACCATATACACATACACACTCATATACAATGATGTATGCATGTGTATACACACACACACACACCAAACATATACACATTTGTTTGAACATAGAAGCAGAAACAGACAAATGCGAAGGTTCCCAAAGTTTGTTTTCCCTGGTTTGTTTTGTTTGTTTATTTGTAGAATCACAGATACTTAGCACTTGTAAGAAATACAATGATTTAGTTCAAGTTGAGTAAATTAGGGCACAAAGAAAACTTAGAACAAGACCGGAGCAGAGGGATGTGAATCATGGTTACAGTGCACTTCCATACAGTAACTCAGTCCTTCCTCAGAGAGATGGTGCAAGATGGGAGAAAAACCAAAGTAGATGAAATTTTGTGTCAAAAAAACATTGCCTTAATCCTCACAGTTCCATAAAATAGGGATATTTATCTCCTTCTTCTGCCAGCTAGCTTCAGAGTAAAGAAGATGACACAAAAGTATGTGTTTGATATCAAGCCTCCTTAGTCTAAAAATCATGTCAGAATCAACAACAGACCCCAAAGGTCTTTGCTGTCTGAGGTTTCTTTTTCTTTCTATTTTGTAGCAGTAACTACTTATAAAGGCCATGTTATCTTCAAGGTTTAATTAATTATCCTGCAAATCCTTCATGTTGAGAAAGCATGAAGAGTGTGAAAGATTGTGAGCTCATCAGATGTTTCCTAAGCCTTCACAGACCTGCTAGAATCGGAGCGCTGAGGTTTTTCCAGACACCAATTGTCTCCACTTCTGCTTGGTGACTGCAGTCATCAGAGGAGCTAAAAAAACTCCAGATGCCTCAACTTCGCTGTATCCTAACTGAATCAGACTCTCCAATAGATGGGCTACACATGTCTGCATTTTTGAAGCATTTAGGTGGATTCATAAAACTCATGTTGACAATGGAAACATTTACAGTTCCTAGGTTTTCTTCAATAGAACCTGATTTCTTCTTTCACAATAGCAGCTAATTTTTTTTTAGCATTCATATAGGATGGAGAATTTATTTTATTTAAGTCCTCAAAACGGTTCTTTGAAATTACCCCCGTCTTAGAGCAAAAACAAAATAAAACCAATCTCTTCAAACTCATGCTGCTGTGTAGTCGTCAAACCTTCGCTGTTTCCATGTGCCACCAGAAGGCTAAGGATGCATCACCTGCCTGAAGTTCAGAAGAAGCAGTACTAGAAGTCCAAGTCCTGTGCCTTTGATTAATTCCTGGCTTCCGTGTAAGCAGGAACTCCTTGTTGCAGAATGAGGCTCAGAAGACAGATGAGCACCAAGCTGCCAGTCACTTATGCCAGAGCCCACTGTGTATTGTTGCTGGTATCCATGTGTAACAGAGAATATTGTGCAGTGAGCTGGAAGATAAGAAATAGATGTGAGATGATGATTTACAAAAGGGTGCTTAAAATTCCTTGACCCAGCAGGAGGAGAAAACTGAAAGAAGGTTGTGCTGTCAAACTCAAAATCCATAAATAGGTATACATTTTTCTCTTTTCCCTCCAAAGGTCATTTCTGAGAGATATAACTTGCTTTCTGCCTTATCTTATGGATATTTGTTGGCTAATTACTAAAATGTATGAATCACAAATTTCTATATTATCCCCACTTGTTGGTTTTCTTTAATTACCCCCTTTTTAAACTTTTATTTTAAAGTCACATTAAAACATTTTTTACTGGGGGGTCTTTCTCTAGCTATTTTTACTTCTTTGTAAAGTTCATCCTTCCTCTATGCTATTGAAGTTTAAGAAAGTATGTGGCCATATAAAACTATATGGCTTGAGGTGTTGAGAGCAACAGAAAGCCTAAAAGATAATCAGAAAATTCCAGTGAATTTTTTGCATGATTTCCTATGACCCAATTGTTTTATTTATGCTTTACGTATTGAGAGAGAAGGAAGCAACACTAGAGAGAGTGATCGTGATAGATGTATTAAGGTGATTAATACATTGTTTCATTGGTGGCTCATTTGGATCAAATTAAAAATGGGTTGCTTATGTATTCAAAACTATGTTTTTTGAGATCATTTTAATATTAAAATAAACACAACACCAAAGTCCTAACTAGCATTGCCAAAAATGGAAAATGATTTACCTGAGGGATCATCTTAGACCAGATGTTCCACCAGGAAATGAATTGCCATTCTAGGGTGAGTTTTACATGCAGAGCAATGAAATTAGCCTTCTCATTTGTCCCAGGGGCCCAACAATTTGGCAGAGTGATCAAGCACTAGGGAGCCTAGAGAGTATAATTCTCCTAGCTCCCACTTGTTACCTAGATGGTAAGGAGTGATACTAAACCCTTAGGTCCCCACCTATTCCTTTGTTAAAATGCATAAAAATAGTCCATATATCACATTGATGATGTGAAGTTTCAAATAGCACAAACTTCAGGTGGGGTTCATAAACAAAAGATTGCATTATGATGGTCAAAATACAGGGGATCTCCACTCAAGTTATCTTGTATTTAGATGGGTCTTTGTGGTCTATGCCTTCATGGAGGAAAGGTGAGAATAGTTCAACCAAAGCATTTCATTGATAATTAAATCAGTGCATCTGTATCCAGTTTAGGAGACACTAAAGCTCTCAGGGACTGGGTACCTCACTCAGGATCATTTATTCTAGTCCCATTTCTTTGCCTGCGAATTTCAATATTTCATTGTCTTTTGCTACTGAGCAATGCTCCATTGTGTAAACATCACATTTTCTTTATTCACTCTTCATTTGAGGGTCATCTAAGTTGCTTCTAGCTTCTGGATATTACAAATGCTGCTGTGAACACAGTTGAGCAAATGTCCTTGTGAATCCTTTGGGTATATGCCAAAGAGCAGTATTGCTGGGTCTCGAGGTAGATTGAGTTCCTGGAACTCAGTTGCGAGAGGGAGGAGGAATTTTATTGGGGAATATTAAGCTACACAAGGTACACAAAGAAGGGATGTTATATGATATGATTCTCATGTATGTTATATGAGAAGTCACTTACATGAGAAGCCAAGAAACTAAGATCAGCACTCCGATGCTCTCTGAGACCTTACCGGAACCCCAAGAGAAGGAGCGTCTCCCCTGCACAGCCCTCTATTTCCCACGTCCGTATGCACCTGTAGCCATTCCCAAAGCAGGCTTGGTCAGAGGCACAGGTACCTAAGATTTCTCCCTACAGAATCACATGGACAAGGGGGCTCAAGACCATGATGGGGAAAAACCACAGATACAGCTGACCAGAGCTAGTGGGAGCTCATGGACTCTGGATTGACAGCTGGGGAATTGTCATGGGACTTAACTAGGACAGAACTTGCTGTAGACCCTGTTGACCTTGAACTCAGGGATCCTTCTGTTGCAAGAGGCAACTTGAAAAGAGATAAACTGAGTAAAATGGAAGGTAGATTTATGTAATTATACCACTATCTCAAAAAACTTAAAAATAAAATAATGAAGAATTTCCACATAAGTACTAAAGTTAAAAGCTTGAGGTCTATTTCCAGACAGCTATGGCCACTGCTCACATGAGTTATAGTGGAAAAAGCTGTAGTTTCTAAAAGGAATTTCTAGGCCTTGAAAGAAGTTTCATGAAGCCCTAGGTACCAAGTGTTTCATAACCCAATCATAGCTTCCAGCAGGTTTGTGATGATTTGTTTTAGAAAGCCTAGGTTCTGGCCAAGAGCTCAAAGGAGCCATTCACATGTAACTCTGTTCCTTTTTTGTCTCAACAGAAAATCTGAGCGATGCTTGAAGTAAGGATTTTGCTCTCCCAACAGTGCTCAAGTTCTCCAACTAGATTCGCATGTGGGCATAGCAAAGTCTGTCAGTGAATCCCCATTGTAGACTTGGGGATTCTAACTCTGACCTCTTTCTATAAGAGCAAATTCTCATCATTCTTGTAATATTCTTTTTCTAATATTTGTTTTTTATACTTGTGATTTATATTTGATTTCCCATTAGGTCCCAACATCTAAGGATAAACCCTTTGGGTGCACATATTAGACTCCTGTGAGTTGAGATAACCACAGAGACATGGGAGTCACTAAACATATACATATTCCAAGAATCTCTCCCCATGCTTTCCCTCCTACAGATGCAGAATGAGTGCAGTGAGGAGTCTATTGAGGTGTCCAGACATGTGATGGAGAAAGAAGCATGCCCTAGATATTTGGGAAGATTTCATGGGTCCTTTCCTATCTTCTCACAACTTTGCATCTCATTAAAAGAGAGCGCACAATGAGATTTGGATGATGAGTTAAATTAAACATTAGTGATTTTCTATTAAAGTTATATACAGTTTCGTACATCACTGAACCCAAAATGTGCAATACACAGAATGACAGCCCTCAATGGCTACCAGGCAAATATAAGGAGTTTCTTAGAATTTAATGAGTTAGTGAAAGCAGTTCCTCTTCCCAAGTATAGGATCTGTGGTATTGACCCTGTGATTTGGAAATAGGAGGTGAGTCTCTTTGGCCACTGTGGTAAAGAGTTAGGGAAAGTGAGCTGGATTAATCAAATGGGGTAAAGACAATGTTCATTAATTGCATAGTTTTAAAGTGACACTTCCACCCCCTCTCTTTGTTAGGGAGATGGAAACATGCATTAGAAACACTATTTCTAATTATTACTGTAAGTGGGAGGTTTTTGGCACAAGGTCAAGAAATAATAGGAGAATGTGTGAATCTCACTATTGAGTTGCACTGAGTCTAATCATTTGACTATAACCAGTTGTTGTTTTTCTTTCTTTCTTCGACTGTCTCTGGGCTGTTCAGTGTTCTGGATGAATCTAACACAATCAGGCTGTTCTCTGGTGTATAACCACTTCCTGCTGACTCAGGGCAAGCTTGCTTCCTCTGCCGTTTATTAAAATGAAGTATTTATGTTAAGCCACCATTTTTTAGAGATGACCAAATATACATTAGTAATGACGTTATTAAAATTATTCTGTTTAAAATGAACTTTCACACCAGTGTGTTACAAAACAACACCAACAAATCTGTCTAACTTCACTGGAGATGGTTTTGAAAAGCTCGCACTTCTTCTGGCACTCTTACAGATGAGGGTTTGATGTGTGCTTCAGGAGACAGTCCAAGTTTTTATGGCCATGAAAAATGAATACTGTTTCCACTACTCCGCATTGCAAATAATGTATAATTCATGTTTTTTCATTAACATGCAAATGTGAAATAGTGTCTTCTATGTTTGCATCTACTAATAATCTATTAAATATTTAGAAGCATAATAAAGAATACTAAAAATATTTGGTCTGGGTACTGTTTAAGCACAATGTTCCCTTATTTGTTTTTTATTTATCCACATATTTACACTGGTAAAATGTGGAAGAAACAGGCAGACACATAATCAATTCAGTAACTGGCATTTGTGAAATAAGCTAATAACTTTGTTTATACCATTCTTGATGCTTTTCAGAGCATTTCCACAAAGACTGATTTGCCAACGAGGGCAGCAATCATGAGGCTGGTTTTAGGCCCATTTCATGGATCAAAAAACCAAGACAGTGTTTTACTGGGATTGCTTTGTAAATATTTAGCCTCCCAGCCACCAAACTTCTAGCTGCCATTCCTTCTAATTCATTGTACCAAAGGACTACAATAGAATCTCAATAGATCACAGAGTTTCTGGTCTTTGATAAATATTTGGCTGGACAATCACACACAAGTTACACTGACTTCAGAAGACAGGACTTTTCAGTACTATTTCTGGAGAGCCAGCAATTTTCATTGGTTCATTCAACAAATATTTTTAAAAGATTTATTTTATTATTTTTATGCTTGCATGAGGACATATCTGCACATGTGAGTTCAAGGAAAGGATGATGGATCACCTGGCATTGGTTCTGACAACCAGATCTGGGTCCTCTGCAAGAATAGTATTTGCTCTTGCCATCTCTCTTCTGCCTTCACATATATTTTTGAGGACAGTATCTTGTTCCTTTGTGGTTGTTTTTTTCTGCAGACTTGCTGGGAACTGGCAATACATTAGCCACTAAGAGGCTACCAACAGTAAGTCTGTAGAGTCCAGAAAGCACTCCCTGAAAAACAATTACTACTGTATAGGGACTTCTACACCAGAAGTCACTAATGTGGTACAGAAGTCATATAAACGCAAGGAAGAGAAAGCCCAGGGAGAGAAGATCCAGGTAGACATCACTAAGAGCTGTGGATCCAGGTTCCTGTGTTTGGCAAATGCTTAGACAGGTGATGTATACAGGGGTTTAACCCTAGATACAGTGTGGGAAAATTCAGAGAAGGATGATTAAGTGACCCTTAGTTGCCTGTAGTCTTTGTCTGGATTTGAAGTTTCATGAGTTTTCCCCCTTATACATTACCATGTCTATTGTAATCATCCTTGTTCAC